AACTTGGAAATTTTTTATTACTTAAAAATTTTTTTAAACTCATTTACTAAAAAATTCCATACAATAAAATGCAAATTTTACCTCCTCACATCACTTAAATTAACCTTTTTCACATCAGGTCCTAATCATTCCAAAGTGAAGCCCAACTGTGTTTTCTCAGCGGGATTTTTACATCTCTCCAATTTATCCAATCTATATAAGAATCCTAAACAATTAGTGAGTGGCTCCATATTCTCTACTGCAATTTCCCAGTCTGTACCAATAGTTGCTAGCTCTTATACAGAAAAAATAGAGTGCACTTTTGCCAAGCTTAAGAAACAGTGGACTAAACAAAGCTAAATAGGTTTCTTTCCTGAAGGACTTCATAAAACGTGTTCTGTGAATTATTTTTTCAAAAAAGAAAAAATAGCTGTAACACACACCCCAAACTTTTTTACCCAAAACGTCTTTCAGAAATTAATCTTTAATACGACACATTCTGAAAATGCTACTAATGGGGTCAAATTAGAAAACTTCTCAGCATGACCCTTCAAGGCCTTCAGTAGAATAACTCCACTTTGTTACCCTTGTTATGTGTCCCCCACATGAAGTAATCTTCTGCCTCCACATTTTATCTCTTCACATAACGTTACCTAATTTAAAATCTTAATCAAAATGTACTGTCTTCCAGAAGCCATTCATAGTATCTCTACTAACCTTCAATACTTCAGTACTCTACGCAACTAAAAACTACAGGGAAATGAGATACTCCATACAATCCAATTTTCACCTCACTAGTAAAACTTAGTACCTAAATTCTTATCTCATTCCAGGCAGAAAAACCAAAACACACTATATTTTTACCTTCCCCAAACAGAATACACAAAACGCAATGTAAGTTCCTAAATTTGTGTCTGCCTTATTTTAGCTTTTCTTTCCTGTCTTTCAGCATTGAGCTATTTATTCTCACTAGTACTAGTCTCAAAACTTTTTTCCACCTTTCTAGTCCTAAATGGACTAAGAAAAAAGAGAACTCGGATTATAAAACTGTATGCAATATTTATTTAACTAGATTCATAATGATGGCTTCAAGTATTTTCCTGAGTATAAGGAAATAGATTTTATCACATGAGTATGATAATATCCATTTCTGGATAGTCTTTTTTGCTTGCCTTTTGGCTCTCAATTAACCTTCAAAATCAAAGGAGACCAGATAAGCAATCTTAACATACCTTTCTCAGGTTTTGTCTTGTGGGTTTATCGGGAGGGGATGGAGGGAGATATTGCATAACTAACCTAAACATGTAAAAAGCAGCTATTAACTATGGAACCAGGATAGATATTTCATATACATTATCTTAGATTTGTTGTATTTACTCCAGCAGAGATTCTGTAATTACACAGCACTAAATATTAACCATCTGCTTAATACATGGGTCAATTAAAGAATGTAATTTGGGTCTCCTTCATTAAAGCACAATAGTGTCTTCCTAGCATCATCATCTAAGTTTCTACTAAACTGACAAGATACATTCATTTGAAAGAATGTTAAAAGTAACAACTTACCAGCAGAAGTTGAAGTAACAATTTCAACAGCTTTTGAAGCATCTGCATCTCTTCTATTTAAAAGGAGAAAAAAAAATTAGCAGCAACTTAGGAATTCCAAGTTCTTCAAAATCCTAAAAATGTAGTATTTAAACCTAAAAACGTTTAAAATAATTCAACTGGAGTGATATCCCTCTTAAATTGTAGTTATAGTGATAAAATATATTAAAAATGCAGTTTTAAAAATTAAAATTTCTTAAGTCACATGTACATTTCATTCTCACATACGAAATCAGAGTCACTTACTTTAAGGTAGATGCAGATACTTTCTTTGACTCTAAAGTCTTTCTCTTCACCTCTTTGTTCTATGTAGGAAAAATATTTTGAACAAAAGAAATTTAGTATAAAGCAATTTTTAAAATATAGAACAAAAAAATATAAAATCTTCCTATTCTAAAGGATACATGCTTATTACCTTTTTCTATTTATAAAGACTTTTTTTTCAATTTGTGATTACACAGCCTAATTTTACATCTCATCTTTTACAACTCATCTGCGTTTTCTTATCATTCAGTTTCCCCTTATCCAAGACCCCCGGTGAATGCCTTGAAACCGTGCTAGTGCTGAACCCTATATATACTATGTTTTTTCCTATATATACATGAAAGTTTAATTTATGAATTAGACATAGTAAGAGATCAACAATAAAAAAAATAGAAAAATGCTCTCTTCAGCAGCACATACACTAAAATTGGAATGATACCGTAATTAGCATGGCCCCTGTGCAAGGATGACACATGTATTTGTTAGGCATTCCATATTTTAAATTTAAAAAAAAGTTGTAACAATGTAGTGTAATAAAACTTACGTGAATATGGTCTGTCAAAACATCTTACTGTACTGTAGATCTTAGCTTCAGCATACAATTTTTTTCTTTCCTTATTGAGAACTTTCACCTTTTCACTTAAAGGAAGCATTTTACAGCTTCTCTTTGGCATATCCAAATTGCCAGCATCACCATACTTGCACTTTAGGGCCATTATTAAGTAAAATGAGGGTTAAACACAAAGTACTGCAATACAGTGACGGTCAATCTGATAACCAAGACAGCTGTTAAGTGACTAGTGGGCACACAGCATATAAAGTATGGATAACTCTAGACAAAGCAATGATTCACAGCCCCAGTGGGTTGGAGTTGGACTGCATGAAATTTCATCATGCTACTCAGAACGGGGCACAATTTAAAACATGTTAATTATTTCTGGAATTTTCTATTCAGTATTTTCAAACCACAACTGACCACTAAAACTGCAAAGCCAAGCCTCAGATAGGGGGAACTACTGTATCTTTCAAAAACATGGTTTCTTATAGCACTGTGACATTTCAGATGTCTAAAGTTCAACTGCTATCACCCTGGTCTAATCTACTGCTATCTTTTGCTTTGATTACTACAACTGCCTCCTAACCATCTCTGCTTCAGTCCTTGGGATTCACCCACTCTCTATTCACAACATAAAACCAGACTGAACCTGCTGTTCTGCAACTCAAAACTTCTCATTAGACTCAAGGAAAAAAAGCCAGAGGCCTCTTAAAACGGCCTCTAAGAGTTTACAACATATGTTCCACCTACCTTCTAACTCCCAAACCACAATACACTCCTTCCTACACTTCTTCACTCCAACCCCCAAGCATCCTTTCTACTCCTCTAAGATGCTACACAGGCATAGGTTTTGCAGGTGCTGTTCCTTCTGTCTGGAATGCTCTCAATCCAGGATGTGGTTTGTTCCTTCATCTTCTTCAAGAGTTTGCTCAAATATCACCTTTTCAATGAGATCTTCCCCAACTACCTTACTGAAAGTTGCACAGCTCTTCATTTCCCAACAAGAGTACTTCTATTCCCCTTTCCTAATATTTTTTTTACCATAGCACTGGTTGAAAACAAACATAATTTATGTATGCATTTTTAACTTATTTGTGGTCTTTCTCTCCCTATCCCTTGAAGTTAAAACTCTGTGATACCGGGGACTTTGTTTTCTTCAATATTCTATTTCCAGTGCACAAAGTCGTGCTTTAACATTCAGCAAATATTTGTTAACTTGATCTGAATTTCATCATAACTGTTCTCATGCAATTTTATACTTTCTGTTCTTTTTGGGCACTCTCGTCATTTCTTTTTGCACTATATGGGATTTTACCCCACACATTCCTTCAACTCAATTATTTAGAAGAAATTAGTTCTAGTTCTATTTTACTAATGGTAACTTTCAATTTTAAAAGAAATTTGAAACTACTGAGTTCCAACGTGTAAGTTGAAACTTTTAGCCTTTACTCCTTGGCTACATTCCAATTTTTGATTATACATTTCAGATGAAAATTGTGTTTCTGGTAATTTTAAGTGATATTTCTTGAAATTTATTTTATAAAAATATGATTATTTAGATTTTAGTCTATGTTTAACTGGTTTCATTGTTCACTGCCAACATTTTATATAATAACTTCTCCATTTCTTACGTTCTTCATTTTAACGTTTTGGAAAAAGATGTATTAAGTGAAATACCTTCTAAGTCCATGCAAGTCTGAGAATAAATACTGCCCTAACACACACCTTAGGATTCCACTTGAAATGAATGTACTCAATTACAATGAATCACAATCTTTTTCCCACCCAACTCTTAAGAATGTGTTGCTCTGCCATCTAAGGCTAGACTATTTCTTTGTATAGTTAAACTGTTTTCTGCCTAGATCACTATAAGGTGCCCCACCATAACCATGAAATTTAAAATCCTCAGTATTTAAGTGATGTCCTCTTTCTGGAATTTCACTTATGTACAGATTGCATCTTCTAAATATATCTACCATGCCTTTCCTCTAATCATTTTTCACTCTTTTAAACTTTCACACCAAGAGTAGGATCACACGTCTCTTGCTCACCACTGCATCTTCTGTAGATGTTACAATGCCTGACACAACAGATGCGTAACAGATGCTTAACTAATAAGAAATAGTTTCAGAATTAAAATGAAAACCTCTCATCCGAATTCTGATTGCATATTTTCATTTTTATCTCCTTGTCAATTCATTAGATTTTCTGTAATGCTCAATTGTTCACTAACGCCCAGCACTATTTTTCATATCCATGCAATCTTCTTAGTTGACTACTTGCTCCAATTTTAATTGTAATGTTCCCATGAATCCTGCTGAAAACACTGAATTGAAATTTTAAAAATTGGGTTTTTTGGAAAAGGTTGAACCGCAGTAGTATTTCATGGCTAAAAGGGTTTTATTAGAAATCTGATCCTACTTCTTTCCACATCAAGGGCTCCTGACCATCTCCTAGTCCCCTTTTTTTTGAGATAGGATCTCACTCACTCCATCACCCAGCCAACCTCCGCATCCCGGGCTCAAGCGATCCTCCCACCTCACCCTACCCAGCAGCTGGATGCATACCACCACACCTGGTCAATTTTTAAATTTTCTGTAGAGATAAGATCTCACTATATTGCCCGGGCTAGTCTCAAACTCCTGAGCTCAAGCAATTATCCTGCCTCAGCCTCCCAAAGTGCTGGGATTACAGGCGTGAGCCACTGCACTGGGCTCCTAATATTTTACAGAAAACTTTTAAAGTATGAGTATATGACCCTTTCTCTGGGAGAAAAAAGAATGTTTGCTTTCATTAGATTACTGGTAATGGTGGGGCAAGGAGTAGCTCAAAAAGACTTAAGAATCACTGCTAAGAATGGATGTCGAGATTATTATTAAATTATTATTATTATTAAAGACTAGGTTGCAAGGTTATTATTAAAGACTAGGTTACCTAGTTTCTGACAAGAGTTGTACAAATCCGTATTAACACAGGGATATAGAATACCTTTTCTGTAATATTTACTGATTCCCAGAAGCAGCAAAATGGAAAGGATGTTACATGAAACATAGCTAGAGTCAGAGGCAGTCCTAACATGAAATATCAAATGTTGGGAAGGTAAGTTTTTTCTACATTTTGACATGCCATGCCAAAATCAAGATCTAGACCACGAAAGCTATAGCACAGCTCTTCTTTTTCCTAGTTTGTTCTTTCAGCTTATTTCTGGCTTGCACTGGTAGAAAAACTTGAAGTGGTAACACACCAAAAAGATTGCCCCTTCCTGCCTCAGACACTTATTTACAAAACAAAACAAACAAAACAAACAACAACAACAAAAAAAACCAAATGCCCACATACTTCCAATATGAAGAAGGCACAACTCAAATTCTGTTAGGAGTTCCCTCCATTCAATCCCTAGGCATGTTGCTCTATCACAACAGAGGTGTCATGAGTTAGCCCTCTTGTTCCAGCATCATCCAAACAATACGTAGCTGGAGAACATTAATATTTGCCATGAAAATGGCATGTTTTCTAGATTTTAGTGCTAGTATTTTCTTTACCCTGTTCATTACTAAGAAAATCATGACAGTAAATATGCCTGGGCTCTTAGACTTACATTGTTACCTTACCAACTTCATCAAAAAGTTGGCCAAGAGAATTTTTTAAGCTATTTTAAACATTCTATTTCCTTAAATGTATCCTTACTTATGTTCCTTATCCTTAACTATGTTAACTGTTTAGAATGAAAGAAAACTGGCCTTCTCAAGAATTCCCAAAATTTAATGATCAGCTGAGTCTTTCTGGACAGTCGCTAAGACAAGCCACTATTCCTTTCTGTTTTCAAGGTTACTAGTCTACCCCCAAATCATTACCATTATCACAAAAGGCTGAGTATATTGATTAAATGAGTTTTCTAACTGGACTTCAGTGCTCTTCTCCACTTTAATCAATCTGCTAGGCTTTCTTTGCCTCCAGAATCATTTGCCTAACTCATTCTCCAGACCATTTCCAAATGAGTCCTTCTAATCTCCATTTTATTATGTCATGCCCCGGTTCAAAAACCTTGAACATATACCTCTCTACGGAATAAAGTTTAAGTTCTTAAATTATATATTTAATCCTTGTTTCTCCTTAACTGCCTCTGCAACTAGATGGCCATGTGTCTGGTAGTTCTGGTAAATCAAATGCAGGCAAATGCTGCTGGGGAACTCATTCTTTCCAGAAAAGAAAACAAAAACTCACTTTGCTCTTCATTTTTATTCCTTTATGTCTCGAAGATAGAAAAGATGCAAGAAGGCGCAGAAACCATCTTACAACTGAGGATGAAAGACACATTCTAAAGATAGTAGTGCTGGAAGACAAGGCGGGGTTCCTGAACATACTATGGCGCTGTTACACCAGCACTGGACCACCTACATGCAGATTTCTGTTATGAGATAAATATCTCTCTTATTTGTTAACAACCTACTAGTGAGGTTTTCTGTTATTTGAAACAATGAAATCCTAAATGGTAACATTGGTAATAACTAAGGCCACACGATTTAATTATCCAAACCAGGACAATGGGAATAAATGTATGGCATGTAGCAGGTATAAACTAGGATGACAAGTTACTCTAGTAGTAACTAACTAGAAAACATATGAGAACTAAAAAATAAAGATCCTCTCTAATAGCTATATGTAAAAATAAGTAAAATAATAAATTTAACCCTCACAAAATGTTCAAGAACTTCATGGAAAAAAAATAAAATAAAACTTGCTAAAGGGCATAAAAGGAAATCTAAATAAACAAACCATGTTCTTTAAGACAAAGCCTGACTCTGTTGCCCAGGCTGGGGTGCCATGGTGCCATCTCAGCTCACTGTGACCTCTCCACCTCGTGGGCTCAAGCAATCCTCCTGCCACAGCCTCTTCCTGAGTAGCTGTGACTACATGTACGCACCACCACACCCAGCTAATTTTTGTATTTTTAGTAGAGACTGAATTTCATCATATTGCCCCAGGCTGGTCTCAAACTCCTGAGCTCAAGTTATCTGCCCACCTCAGCCTCTCAAAATGCTAGGATAACAGGCATGAGCCACCAGCCAACGGACCATGTTTTTTGATAGACTTAATGTTGTAAAAATACTATTACAAACTCAACACAGTATTAATTAAATTCCAGTAAGTTTTTTTTAGAGTACTTAAACTGATTCTAAAACTAATGTGCAGGAATAAATGTTCAAGTTTAAACAAAATTTAAATAAAGAGGAAAAACATTAACCAAAATGAATAAACCAAGAAAAATAACTCTACAAGAAAGAGAGGGAAATACTATGAAGTTATAATAATTGCTATAACAGAAACCACATAGTATTGCCACAGCAGAAGAGTATGAAACACATCTATGTATACAGAATTTATACAAATAAAAGCAGCTTTTCAAATCAACAAGGAAGGATAAATTAGGCATAAACAGTGTTGAGGCTAACTGGCTCCCATTTTGGAAATAATACTGATTCCAATCCTATACTATGCTGCAAGTAATAGATTAAGGAATAAAATCTTCTAGGCACTAGCACAGGTAAGTTCTTTTTTTTTTTGAGACGGAGTCTCGCTCTGTCGCCCAGGCTGGAGTGCAGTGGCGGGATGTCAGCTCACTGCAAGCTCCACCTCCCGGGTTTACGCCATTCTCCTGAGCACAGGAAAGTTCTTAAAAAGACAAAAGAAAAAAGCAGGCCAGGAACAGTGACTCACACCTGTAATCCCAACACTCTGGGAGGCGGAGGCAGGAGAATCACCTGAGCCCAGGAGTGTGAGATCACCTTGGGCAACAAAGTGAGACCTCTTATCTACAAAAAATAAATAAAAAATTAGCTATGCGTGGTTGCTTGCACTTGTAGTCCCAGGTACTCAGGAGGCTGACATGGGAGGATTACTTGAACTGGGAGGCAGAGGTGGCAATGAGCCAAAATTGTGCCACTGCACTCCAGCCTGGGTGACAGAGTGAAACCCTATCTCAAAAAGAGGGGCACATGTCCTTGGGACCTCCTGAGGTTGTGTCACAGGCAAAAAAAAAAATAAAGAAAAAAATCACAGAAGCCATAGAATACCAATAAATTTGAGTACACAAAAATTTCAAATTTGGCCGGGTAAGGTGGCTCATGCCTGTAATCCCAGCACTTTGGGAGCCCGAGGCGGGCAGATCACGAGGTCAGATCGAGACCATCCTGGCTAACATGGTGAAATCCCGTCTCTATTAGTGGCGAGCACCTGAAGTCCCAGGTACTCAGAAGGCTGAGGCAGGAGAATGGCGTGAACCCAGAAGGCAGAGCTTGCAGCGAGGCAAGATAGCATCACTGCATTCCAGCCTGGGCAACAGAGCGAGGCTCTGCCAAAAAAAAAAAAATTCAAACTCGTTATATGTATGCATAAAGCAACACACTATAAGAAAATACTTCTTACATAAAATGCAAAATTAGTGTCCAGAATGCACAATATTCATGCACCTTCAAATGAATATTTTTAAAATGATAACAATAACAGAATAGGAAAAGATACAGACAACTCACTTAAACAGTTAATAGATATAGCTAACAATTATACAAAAAGATGAAGTTAATGAATAATCAAAAGATGCAAATTAAAACTAGGTATCATTTTCCATATGATGCATTTTTAAAGCTGAAGAAATTAAGATGTTGGTAACACTCTCATAAATTACCAAGGAGTAAATTATATTACAGTTATTTAGTGAGCAATCTTACATTATCCATTATTGCGCATCTACAAACCAACCATTCCATTGGGTAGGTATCACCTAAAAAAACACTATCATAAATGTCAAAAGATGGCCTGTCAAGGTACACAAGGTGTTAACTAAAGTTCTGTTTCTAGAAACAACCTAAATATCAATCAGTAAGGAATTGATAATATATCTGTGGTATATTCATACAGAGAAACACTATAGAGAAGTTAAAAAGAATGAGGCAAATCTAAACGTACCAACATGGTTAGACTACCAAATCAAATTATTGAGAAATGTGTGTTATAGAACCCCTATAAAGTAGCCATTCCACAGCAAGTAGAAAAACTAAATTACTGGGTGGAGCAGGATGGTAGAATAGAAGCCTACACTGTTCATCCCACCCCCAGCAGGAACACCAAATTTTACAACTATCTGCACACAGAAAAGCATCATCACAAGAACCAAGTATCACGTGAGCAATCATACTACCTGGTTTTGACTTTGTATCACTGAAAGAGGCATTGAAGAGGGTAGGAGAGACAGCCTTAAATCCCTGACAGCACACCTCCCCCATCTGGCCCCACAACATGGACAGAGTCTGTGCACTTAAGGGAGGGACAGGAAAGCCATGCTGGGCTCAGCTAGTGCCCATGCACTGACGGAGCCTTTGGACCAGATCTAGCCAAAGAGGAATCATCCATCCCAGCAATAAGAACCTGACTTTCTTGGCAAGCCTCACTACCATGGGCTCAAGTGCTCCAGGGTGTGGGGAAAAGAAAGAGATCAGCCTGTTACTGTGTCTATATAGAAAGAAGTAGACATAAGAGACTCCATTTTGTTCTGTATTTGAGATGCTGTTAATCTGCGGCCCTACCCCCAACCTTGTTCTTGCAAGAGACATGTGCTGTGGTAACTCAAGGTTTAATGGATTTTGGGCGTGCAGGGTGTGTCTTTGTTCCTAGAAAAGCTAGGTATTGTCCAAGGTTTATCCCCATGTGATAGGATGAAACAATGCTGCTAAAAGGTTTATCTCTAGGCACAGGATTTTCCTTTGAACTTATTCATGTCACAGAGATCCTTGTTCTTATGTCTTACTGCTGATTTCCTCCCTAAAAACAATCCTATTGTCCTGCCACTCCCTGATCTTTAAGATGGTAAAGATAATTATCTATAAATACCAAGGGAACTCAGAGACCGGTGCCGGCGTGGGTCCTCTGTAAGCTGAGCGCCGGTCCCCTGGGCCCCCACTTTTCTTTCTCTATACTTTGTCTCTGTGTCTTATTTCTTTTCTCAAGTCTCTCATTCCACCTAACAAGAAACACCCACAGGTGTGGAGGGGCAGGCCACCCCTTCACAGGGTCCTAGGTAAACCTGAAAGGCAGTCTAGGACACAAGGACTACAACTCCTAGGCAACTCTTAGGACTGGGGCTGGGATTAGAGCTAGTGGACTAGGGTGGCATATAACCTAGGGCGGTACCAGCTGGGAAAACTGGATACCCATATGCATTAATGAACCTGAACACTCTCTCTCAAGATATACAAAAATCAAGTAAAAATAGATTAAAGACTTTTATCTAAGATCTCAAACTATGAAACTACTACAAGAAAACACTGGAGGAACTCTCTCTCCAGGACATCGGTCTGGGCAAAGATTTCTTCAGTAATACTCCACAAGCATAGGCAAATGCTATACAAAAATGAACAAATGGAACCACTTCAAGTTAAAAAGCTTCTGCAGAGCAAAGGAAACAACAAAGAGACAACCCACAAAATGAGAGAAAATATTTGCAAACTGTCCATCTGACAAGGGATTAATAAGCAGAATAAAGAAGGAACTCAAGCCACTCTACAGGAAAAAAAAATCTAATATTCTGATTTAAAAAAATGGGCAAAAGGTCTGAAGAAACATTTCTCAAAAGATGACACACACAGCAAAAATGTACATGAAAAGGTACTTGACATTACTGATCATCAGAGAAATGCAAATCAAAACTACTATGAGATATCATCTTACCCCGGTTAAAATGGCTTTTATCCAAAAGACAGGCAAAAACAAATGCTGGCCAGGATGTGGAGAAAAGGGAACCCTCAGTATATTGTTGGTGGGAACGTAAATTAGTACGATCACTATGGAGAACAGTGTGAAGGGTCCTAAGAAACTAAAAATAGGATCTACCACACAATCCAGCAATCCCACTGCTGGGTATATATACCCAAAAGAAAAGAAATCAGTGTATCAAAGAGATATCTGCACTCCCACGTTTCTAGCAGCACTGTTCACATTAGCTAAGATTTGAAAGCAAACTGAGTGTCCATCAACAGATGAACAAAGAAAATGTGGCACATATACACAATGGAGTACTATTCAGCCATAAAAATGAATGAGATTCAGTTATTTAAAATAACATGGATGGAACTGGAAGTCATTATATTAAGTGAAATAAGCCAGGCACAGAAAGACAAAGATCACATGTTCCCACTTATTTGTAGTATCTAAAAAATCCCACAATTTGTGGGATCTAAAACAACTGAACTCATGGAAACAGAAAGTAGAAGGACGGTTATGAGACTGGGAAAGGTAATAGGAGGTAGGAGGGGATAATTAACAGGTACCAAAAAAAAAAAAAAAAAAACCAGAATGAATAAGACCTAGTATTAGCTAGCGCAACAGAGTGACTATAGTAAAAAATAATTTAATGGTACATTTTTAAACAATTATAAGAGTATAACTGGACTGTTTGATACACAAAGAATAAATGCTGGAGGGGACAGATATCCCATTTTCCATAATGTGATTATTACACACCGCATGCCTGTATCTAAATATCTCATGTACCTCATAAATATATATATCTACCATGTACCCACAAAAATTAAAAGAATTTTTTTTTAAGTAATAAAAATATTTTCTCAACACCCTATTTTTAAAAACACACATACACAAAGAAAACCTTACAGGTGAGATATAGCTTTTGTACCTAACAGAAAGGTCATCCTTAAAGAGTAATTTAATTCTATAGATACTATCTATAGACACATAAACTGAAGCATAGAAATGATCTAGAAAGAATAAAGTTACAAAAATTGATACTCCTAAGGAAGTAAAAGCCCAAAGAATATACACTCTATGATTTTGTTTATGTAAAGTTGAAAACAGGCAAAACTCAACTATGGCATTAGAAAACAAGTTAGTGATTACTTGTGAGAAAAAGGGAGAGTGTAAGAATTCGGAAGAAGTAAGCAAGGGACTTCCAGGTACTGTCAATGTTCTCTTTTGTGACCTAGGTACCGGATTCACAGATATTTGCTATTTTTGTGTTATATATGGCCAAGTATTTTCTGCTAGTTATTGTTATTTAATACTATATACAGCACTATACATTTATGAAGAAGTTTTGATTTCAATATATTTGAATTAATGCACATATAATCTGTTGAGCTAACATTTATGTTTCTATGCATATATACTTAAAACAAAAAAGTTAAACTAAACAACAGTGACCTAAATCCAGTTTACCTGTGCTTTTTTCTTTCCTGGAACACATATTTTCACACTTTTGCCTTTTATCATAAGCGGTGTTGTTTCAATGTACTTCATAATTGCGGTAATCGCCTCTTTAAATTCCATTTCTAAGTAAGCCTAAAACGAAATTTATTCCATCTTTAGTCACAAATTTACCTTTAAAAGTTCCTGCATTTTAAAATTGACTTAATCCTTTCTTTTGTAACATCAAACTATGAAATTACCTCAAGTCATGGTTGCTTTTGCCTGTTTTTATTTTGGTCATGTGTAATTTGATTAAGGATGTTTCACACATGAAATGGCCATTTAAGCTTACAGAATTTCTATACCACTACCAAGATAAAAAAAATCCAGGCAGGCTCATGCAACAAGAAGAAATGAGAAGGCAGGGCTCACTGAACAACAGGAGGGAAGGGAAGATACGGTCCAGCTTGTGGTAGGTCTGACATTTTAAAGGTTTCTCGCAACAAAGACAACACTATCACCATGTTCCCCGTCCTGACTAACTTTTTAAAAAAGTTAAGACAGAGGTCTCACTATGTTGCCCAGGTTGGTCTTGAATTCCTGGCCTCAAGTGATCCTCCAGCCTTGGCCTCCCAAAGTACTGGGATTACAGACTTGAGCCACCACACCCAGCCTTAACTCACAAA